TCATATGCACATAATTAGAACATAGAAATTTGGAAAAGAGGAAAGATTAATGACGAAAAAGGACATCGCGTCGTGTCGTTAAATTTCAAAAACGTCACAGACTAGACAACAATGGTGGAAAATATGAGCGCAAGTTTCAAAGTTCCATCAACATTTTACAGCCAGAATAACTAATGGTGTCAAGTAGATTCTTCAAGGCGGATCTTTCTCGTGACTCGAAAAGGAATCGTTTTTCGCTTAGAAACAGACGAGGGAGCCAATCAGAAAACAAATTAGAGAACGGAGATTGATATAATCCCCGATCTTCAAGGACAGAGGGACTTCTTCCGTAAACTGTGCTACTGAGTACTTACACTTACACTCCAAAAAGTCCGGAGCGAAAACTCTCTGTGTGTGTCAACGCACAGAAAACGCAGAGTCCGCACAAGTGTCCATCGAAAGAGTCGTGCCGCCGACACCTCCCGACAAGTCTCCTTACCTGCCGCACCCCCGGGGCCCATCTCCGAGTGATGAGAGACAAACATCCACGACGTCCAAACAGTCGACTGTATCTAGATAATTCTAGTTCCTAGGTGTAAGTTTAATTTTATGTATAAAATAAACGGGTTTTTGTGAGATTCTTGTCATCTGTGTCTCCTCCACCACACCCACACGTGTTCGACCCTAAATCATTCTGACGCGGGATTAACGATTCCCCCCCGGAAGTCGGCGAACTTACACAATTATAGTGAGATACATAAATAAATACATAAATGAAAGACTTTTAGCCATCATCAGTGTGGAATCATCAACCGGTGAAGCTTTTTACAATATTATAAAAGAAATACAGTACTAGGAAAAAATAATTTGGACATTACCAAATGTATCGGAAATCCTACTGATGGTGCTAGTAATATGCAGGGGAAATATCGTGGGTTTTCTGCTCATATGCTAGAAGCTATCCCAGAGCATGTTCATGTATGGTGCTACGCCCGTTTTGAATTTAGTTATTTCTGACATTACTCAGTCATCAATTGCTGTAGCTATATTATTTAGTCTATTAAATTCAATAGCAATTTTCATTCGAGAATCGTACATTCGAATGAATGTGTGAATTTCTTTTAGTAAAGATACTAGGCGTAAAAAATTAAATACGATAGGAGAAACGCAATGGTGGGCCAAGGATGTAGTCTTGAAAAAAGTGTTTAGTAATTTTGCTAATCCTAAAGATGGCTTATACGTTGAATTAATATTAACATTACAGTATTTTGCTACATCAATAAACATTCAACCAAACATACGAATAAAAGCAAAATCTTTTCTAGATACGGGAAAGCGGCGCCGAACGTCACACGTACACGTTTACACGTTTAAAACGTGTGCCTCAACCTCTCTAGTAACTAGACTACTCTGTGCTAATGTGATTGATGACACATTAAAAAGTGAGTTAATTTAAAACCTAAAAATACTTTATGTACAAAAATTAATGCATTATATATTTTTAGTTGTCCTTGACAGACGTGTCAATAATAAATGCAGTATTGGCCATTTTGAACTGGGTTATCAAGGTGATGTTTTACCATGGACTGAATTCAGTGATAGAACATTAGTTCTAACTGGAAAGAAGATAGAAAAACCCATCAGAAACTCAACCAAACTTTCAGTATCAAGTAATCTGATGACAAATAAAAGCACTGTAAAAGAAGGAAAATCAAAATTCGAAGAAGAAGTATATTGTGCAAAATTAATACTGTGGTGTGCATCAAACCTTTATAGGAACATACAAAATTATAAATTCAAAAATTCCTATGTGGATAAAATTGTGAACGACATCAAAAACTGTGAAAAGTACAACTATTATTCAGTTTGTAATGGTTCTATACCTGCAAAAACACATTACATTGTCCCTCAACATTTTGGCAATTCAAAAAATAAAAATAAATCTTTTACAATTTTTGAGAAGGCTAATATAAGAATAGTGATGACAGAAAATGTATGAAACAGAACAATATTGACAAATTATTCAAGTCAGAAACTAATTCAAAAGAAGGAAATTTAAAGGAGATAATCAATCAACAGAAATTAAAGACTGAGGAAAGCAAAGTGCTTATGAAAAATTCAGAATGTCTGAATTTACGTCAAGCAACATCAAAGACTAAATCAACAGAGAAAGTACAGAAAATGCTTCCAAAAATTAATACATTATCACAGTTTCAAATTACAAAAAGTATACAAAGTAAAGAAATGAATATAATGAAAAGAAAGAAAACTCTTTCTAACATATTAAATGAATTTAAATATTCAAAAAGTTACAGATCTTTGATTGATGGCTGCAGAAAACCAACTCCACAAGACATAAATAAAACAACTTCTGTAGAAAGAAAACTTAGTTTATTATTAAAACGTATTAAAGAAAAAAATAAATTTCTAAACGATAATTCAGATACTAAAATTAAAGATATTGAAAGACCATTAAATCTGCAGAAATTCTCTTTAAAACAATCCAAACCAATTCCTCCAATTTCCAAAATCAATCAAAAACAGCAAACTTAGAAGATAAGCAAGAACAATTTTTTTACATCATGAAAAATTAATAATTAATAATTATCAATGAAAATATTTGTACAGATAATTAAATTAAATAAATTAAATTTTTTTAAATTTCTGATTTTTATTTATATAAATATGACTGACCTATCAAAAAATAAGTAATTTTAAAAACTGTAGATATGCAACAACTTTTAAATACATTGTCAATTGATTGCACTTACTTTCTGTCTATTAATTACAGTTAATTCTCAATATTTGAAAAGTGTATAAACATAATTCTTTTACCTTTATGTTTAGTAGAAATGGCTTTGAAAAATATTGAAATTCAATCAGTTGCAATTTTGCTCTTTGTTTGTGGTTATCATTCAGCATTCTATCACTCCAAAAAACAGTAAAAGCTAGTTATAGTATATTTTATGCACTTTTTGGTTCTGAAAAAATAGATATTTTATTTTTAATGCTTTTAGATTAATCATAAGATACAGGGTGAACAAACAACTTTACTTGTGAGGAGTAGACTAGGCTTTGTGATGCCCGACTGACTCATCATATGCCCTAGGTTTATTTAATTTTGAATGTTATTACACTCGANCCCAACAAAATTTTACAAAGAAATTTCTCGCAGTAAGATGGCAAAAAAACTTACGAATTTTAATCACTATAGAGTGAGAACTAGGTTCACATGAGATCAAAGCCTGAAGTGTACTAACTGAGTCAGTGTAAATATCACAGCAACTATGACCTTTCCTATTTATATACTTTAAAGCTAAATAAATAGCATGGAACTCTGCAGAAAAGATGGAAGAATTCAATGCAATTTGTTCTGCCACTATTTCATCCTGGCAGATGAAGGCTGAGCCAACGTAATCATCAGATTTAGATCCATCTGTATAAATAGGAATTAAATTCCTGTCACAATGTTGAATTTCTGCAAAGTGCTGTCTGTAGATCAAGTCTGGGGTGGATTCCTTTGGAAATTGCTTTAAGCTAAAGTCAACATTTATCACAGGGATTGACCAAGGAGATATATTACAGACCTCTAGCTGTGAAATTTTGCCTGTGTTCAGATCAATTGTGCTGCTCACATTCTCCATTCTTATGGCGAATGAAGGGACACAGCTTGGGCGAGCTTCAAATAACCTTTTCAGCTGAGTATCTAATACTGTACAATCAACTGAAAGCTTAAAGTAAGATTTCTGTTTTATATAGTAAAATAGAGACAACTGTTCTCTCCTGAGAGATAGTGGAGGCTCATAAGCTTCCACATACAAGCTTTGTACAGGACAAGTTCGAAAAGCACCAGTGCACAAACGTAGTGCTTGGTGGTGAATTGGATCCAGTATTGGTTGGTTGGTTTTTGTTTATTGGCACAAGAGCCGTATAGGCTATGCTGCGCCAGGGCAAATGGTTAAAAGATTTTAAACATGATAAATAACTAACATATGACAGTAATAACTAAATAAATAAACAACAACAACGAAAATAAAAATACACATAGTAAGTACAAACAGACAACAACATGCAAAAATAAAATAAATATATAAGTAAATAATTAATTAAATTTCTTTATACAAATTAATGACTTTTAAAAAGTCCAATACATTACAATGATTTGGTCTCTGGACCAGAATCTCTTTGAAACTTGCATTTCCAAAATGCTGTCTATGACTGTTCTCAAAGGCAGAGCAATCGAGCAGTATGTGTTTAACACTTAGAGAGCAGTTGCAATACTGGCATACTAATTGCTCTTCATCCTTCAAAAGGTATTGATGAGTCAACCGAGTATGTCCAATCCTCAGACGAGTAAAAATAACCTCAGATCTCCTGTCGTAATATTTATTATGTGTCCAATTTTCTATCATAGGTTTGATCTCATGTAGTTTATTGTGGACTTGTACATTCCACACTTTTTGCCATCTCTCTGCTCGTCATTTTTTAACTACTAGCTTCAAATCAGCTCCTTCAATACGCATTATATGCTGTGAAGGACTAGCTGACTTTGCAGCTGCATCAGCTACTTCATTTCCTCTTATACCTACATGGCCTGGGACCCAACAAAATTTTATAGAGAAATTCATTGCAAGAAGATGGCAAAACAATTTACGAATTTTAATCACTATGGAGTGGGAACTAGGTTCACATGAAATCAAAGCCTTAAGGTAACTAACTGAGTCAGTATAAATCACGCAACAACGATGACCTTTTCTGAATACATACTTTAAAGCTAGATAAATAGCCTGCAGCTCTGCAGTAAAGATAAATGAATTCGATTCAATTTGTTCTGCCACGATTTCATCCTGGTAAACAAAAGCTGAGCCAACATAATCATCCGATTTAGAACCGTCAGTATAAATAGGAATTAAATTCTTGTCTTGGTATTGAATTTCTGCAAAGTGCTGTATGTAGATATAGTCTGGAGTGGATTCCTTAGGAAACTGCTTTAAGCTAAAGTCAACATTTATCTCAGGGGTTGACCAAGGTGGTATACTATCAACCTAAGCCTGTGAAATGTTGCTTGTATTCAGGTCAATCGAGCTGCTTGCATTCTCCATTCTTATGTTGAATGTAGGGACACAGCTTGGGCGAGCTACAAATAATGTTATCACTTGCATGTCTGATATCGTACAGTCAACTGATGGTTTAGCTTGAAATTTCTGCTTAATGTATAAAAAAGAGACAACTGTTCTCTCCTGAGAGATAGTGGGGGCTCATAAGCATCCACGTACAAACTTTGGACAGGAGAAGTTCGAAATGCACCAGTGCACAAACGCAGTGCTTGATAGTGGATTGGATCCAGCATCCGAAGAGTAAATTCTCGCGCAGAGCCATAGACAATACATCCATAGTCCAGCTTAGAGCGGACAAGGGCCCTATTAATCCTGAGCATAGAAACTTTGTCTGCTCCCCAGGATGAGCAGCATAGGACCTTTAAAAGGTTTAGAGATTTTAAACATCTATTCTTCAAGTTGCGCAAGTGTGGCAAGAATGTCAGTTTTTGATCAAACCAAACACCTAAAAACAGCCTCATTCACAATTCGGATTTTAACCCCATTAAAATACATTTCAGGGTCCAGGTGCAAACCACGCCTTCGGCAAAAGTGAATGCACGAGGTCTTCTCTACGTTGAAACTAAAACCATTGGTCTTGGACCAATTTTCTATGCGATTTAGGGAGGTTTGCAGTTGTCTCTCAATGAAACTCATGTTGCTAGACTGGCAGGAGATCTGAAAGTCATCCACATACAGAGAGTGTTTCACAATGCAACCGTAGTCCATCTTAGAGCAGACAAGGGCCCTATAAATCCTGAGCATAGAAACTTTGTCTGCTCCCCAAAATGAGCAGCACAGTACCTTTAAAAGGTTTACAGATTTTAAACATCTACTCTTCAGGTTGCGTAAGTACGGCAAAAATGTCAGTTTTGGGTCGTAATAAACACCCAAAAACTTAGCCTCATTCACCATTGGAATTTTATCGCCATTTGTGAATTTCAGGATCCAGGTGCAAACCACACCTTCGGCAGAAGTGAATGCACGATGTCTTTGCTGCATTAAACGTAAACCCATTGGTCTTGGACCAATTATATATGCGATTTAAAAAGGTTTGAAGTTGTCTCTCAATGGAACTCATATTACTAGACTGATAGGAGATCTGAAAGTCATCCACATACAAAGAGTGTTTCACACTGGGAGGGAGACAGTTAGCTATGCTGTTAATTTTAATTAGGAACAGAGTCACACTCAAAATAGAACCGTGAGGAACACCTTCTTCTTGTATGAAGAGCCTAGATAAAGTGTTGCCCATCCTAACTTGAAATCTTCGATTCTGTAGGAAGTTTTTTATAAAAATTGGCAAATTACCCGCAATCTGAATTGGTGTAGATCACAAAGTATCCCGTATCGCCAACAGCGATCATAGGCCTTCTCTATGTCAAAAAACACAGACACTAAGTGCTGTCGTCTAACAAACGCTTCGCGAATAGATGTTTCAAGGTTTACCAGGTTATCAGTGGTACTTCTGTTCCTACGGAAACCACTCTGATGTGGTGAAAAGTATTCCTTTTTCTCTAAGAGATACATTAGACGCCTGTTTACTATTCTCTCGAAAAGTTTACAGAGACAACTTGTCAGAGAAATTGGTCTGTAATTAGAGGGATTCTTGTGATCTTTACCAGGTTTGGGAATGGGAATAATGATTGATAGATCCAAGAGTCGGGAAAAGTATGTTCTGTCCATATTCTGTTAAACAGATTCAGAACATTACAAAGAGAATTGTCTGAAAGATTTTTAATCACGCTGTAGTGGATTTTATCCGGACCTACAGCAGTATTCCCCGAGCGAGAGATTGCTGTATGTAGTTCTATGCTGGTGAATGGCACATTATATTCCTCATTAGATGAAAAGTGAAAGTTTAAATATTGTTTTTCACTTTCAGCTTTATAAGCTTGGAAATTCCTAGTAAACATTACATTGCTGGATGAAGAAGAAAACGTTTCACCCAACAAATTGGCAATACCCTGTATATCGCAGATTATTGTGCCATTATTTTCCAGCATGGACAGAGAGTGGGAAGCATATTTTCCATTAATTTTATGGATTTTATCCCAGACTGCTTTTGAGCTAGTGGAAGATGTCATACTAGAGACATACTTCCTCCAAGAATCCCTTTGGCTTTGCCTTCTAATTCTTCTGGCATTTGCCTTTGCTTTTTTAAAAGCAGTGAAATTACTAGCAGTGGGGGTATCTTCTGAAAATCCCCCATGCTTTCTATTGTGCTTTAAATGCTGCCTCGCAATTCTGATCCCACTATGGTTTCAGATGCTTTGAATATCTGGTTGATGTTTTCCCCATTGTTTTTTCAGCTGCCTGTATAATACTAAAAGTGACAACTTCAACTGCATCATTGATATCAGCAGTATTGACCATTTCCTCAGTGATGTTAGCCAAAGAGGAGAATGCAGGCCAATCTGCCGTTTCCAGTTTCCAGCGTGGTGGACGGGCTGTTTCACAGCTTTCTCTGCCTCGATATTTTAGAAATATTGGGAAATGGTCACTAGAGAGTGGATTAGATCCAACCTCCCATGTAAATGCTGAAAACAGATTCGGAGTTGCTAATGATAGATCAATGGCAGTGAACGTTCTTGATGGGGCATGGAAATATGTCACTTCTCCAGTATTGAATAGATACAATTGATGATTACCTATAAATCTCTCAATGGCTCTGCCTCGACGATTGATGTCGGGACTGCCCCACATAGGATTGTGGCCATTAAAATCACCAAGTAAAAGGAATGGTGTTGGCAACTGTTCAACTAATGCATCCAATTCATCCTCGTTCACTCTGACATCTGGTGGCAAGTATATAGAACAAACTGTGACAGTTACTCCAATTGAAATTCTGACTGCCACAGCTTGCAAATCAGTTGTTATTTGTATCGGCAAAAATGGGATGTGATTTGAAACGACAATAGCCACACCTCCACTGACACGGTTGTGACTATCATCATCCTTGCGGTAGAGATCAAACCCTTTTAAAGTTGTACTATCTCCAGGTTTTAGATGTGTTTCCTGAAGTGCCACACAGAGAGGTGAAATATATGATGTCAAGTGTTTAATGTCAGAGAAATTGTTGCGGAAACCACGACAGTTCCATTGGATTATTTTATAATCCATTATGTGTTTGAGGCAGCAGTCTTCGTAAAAGTGTCCCTCTTCAATTTAACTGAGGATTTTCCTTTTGAAGGGGAGGGTGGTTGGGTCCCCTCCATATGATTCTCTTCATCAGAAATATCAGAGAACTCGCTCATGGATTGAGTCTCAGATCTCTTTGATTTAGAGAGGGCTGCTTTCAATTTTTGTTTGTTCAGTGGGTTCTTATTAGCCTTTTTAGAACTCACATGTCTGGTTGTTACCCCTGTTTTAGTTACAAGAGTTTTGGTCTTTGTGTTTGCCGTTTCTTCTGCTTGTGTAGGTGGGATCAGTAAACATCTTGCATGGCGAATAAGAGATTCACTTGGTGATACAGAAATATCTGTTTGAACTCCACATATTTTCGTGGATTTCAAAACAGAAGCAAATGTTTTTTGTTTTAATGTTGTAGTTTGAGAGACCATGCAGCGGGCTTCTGGGTATGGTATATTATTTGTGATTTTTACTCGTTGAATCTCCTTTTCTCTCTGCCATGCAGAACATTTCCTTCAGTATGCAGGATGGGCATCTTTACAATTCACACATCATGGATTATTGGTGCACTCGGTACTCTCGTGACCTTCAGTTCCACACTGTGCGCATGTGCTTTTCCCACGGCAGGATGTTTGTGAATGTCCAAATCGCTGGCATTTGAAGCAACGCAGCGGATTTGGAACATACAGACGAATTGGGCACCGCAGATAACCTGCTGTGATAGCAGATGGCAAAGTTGGTTTGTTAAAGGTTAAAATTAAGTGTTTAGTAGGAATTAACTTGCCATCTCGACTAATGGAAATGCGTTGAACAGCAGTAACACCTTGATCTGAAAGACCAATCTGGATATCTGATTCATCCTCAGACATCAGATCAATTTCAGATATCACACCACGTGAAGAGTTCAAACTTGTATGTGGTGTGATGGTGACTTGTATGTCTCCTAGAGACTTCATTCTCAAAAGTTTTTCTGACTGTTGAGGGGAGGCTGTTTCCAGAAGTAGATCTCCTGACCTCAATTTTTGGATTTTTTTAAGGTGCCCAATGGTCGACTCAAAAAGTTTCTGGATTAAAAAAAGAGAGCGTTTAGACAAAGGTGTTTCTCCTGTAGTGTGAACAATAAGGTGGGTTGGTTGATTGGAGGAATTGACCTCCTTTGTTAACAGTGCATTGGTCGATGTTTTAGATTTTAGAGAATCCATATTTAGAGAAAATTATTCAGCTCCTAGTGACCCCACCCACCATGGGGCCCAACAAGGGGATGCCGTCACATGTGAGACTCCCATAGACCGTCACACCAGGGTTTCCCAGGAGCTATACCCTCACAATGCAGTCAAGAAGAGCACATCTTGTCTGACCTGTCTGCCTGGTCTGCATCAATCGGTTGGCTCCAAGCCGAGGTCAAGAATGACTCAACGACCAGCCGATTGACTCAAACGGAGCCTGATTTGAGCCTCCCGTTTATCCGAAGCAGGGGCCAAAGCAGTGTGTTGGGGACGATATGTTGCCCCTCAACTACCAGGATCCCCCTTTCCGGCATACGAGACACCATGCACGGCAAACACGTGGGTGGGCGTTCAGATCCCAGGGATGGTAAAGAAGAGTTACTAAACCATCTCTGGGAGGTCCCCTCACCACGGACAGGAACCCACACCGAGGGGCCACACAGAGAGATGAAGTAGAGGATGTCAAGTGTTTAATGTCAGAAAAGTTGTTGCAGAAACCACGACAGTTCCATTGGGTTATTTTATAACCCATTATGTGTTTGAGGCAGCATTCTTTGCAAGGGTATCCTCTTTAATTTAACAGGCGGTTTCTCTTTTGAAGGTGACTTTGGTTTTGAAACCTCCATATAAGGCTCTTCATCAGATATGTCAGAAAACTCACTCATAGATTGAGCTTCTGATTTTTTTGAGACTGTAGAGAGGGCTGCTTTCACTCTTTGTTTACCATATTTCAAAAAACTGGTTATTTAATTCAATTATATCCAACTCACCACATAAACCATATCCAGTTCAAAATCCAGCAGAAAAATTCTTTCTACGAACGTTTTCGTCTATATTTAATAGACATCCTCAGGTATTAAGGAGATGGAACTAACGGCTAGTAGAATCGAACGTCTTTGAAAGTTCCGTTTATTGACGTAATTCGAATATGATGCGTTAAAATTAAAATTATGTAAAATATTTAAACCATATCCGACTAAATAATCAATAGATTTCACGTAGATCATGAGGTAAATTTCCTCCGTAATTTAAAATATCTTCAATGCACGTTTTAATCATTGGAATTTAATTCAAACATGGCGTGCCATGCTACGGAAAGCGTATCGGTTTCTTTGAAATTAATACCGACGCCTTTTTTAATTGCCATGTTTGAATTAAATCCCAATGATTAAAACGCGCATTGAAGATATTTTAAATTACGGAAGAAATTTATGTCATGATCTACGTGAAATCTATTGATTATTTATTCGGATATGGTTTAAATATTTTACATAATTTTAATTTTAATGCATCATATTCGAATTACGTCAATAAACGGAACTTTCAAAGACGTTCGATTCTACTAGCCGTTAGTTCCATCTTCTTAATACCTGAGGATGTCTATTAAATATAGACGAAAACGTTCGTAGAAAGAATTTTTCTGCTGGATTTTGCACTCTTTGTTTGTTAAGTGGGTTCTTACTGGCTTTTTTAGAACCCACATTTCTGGTTGTTACTCCCATTTTAGTTACAGAGGTTTTGGTCTTTGTGTTCTCCTTTTCTTCTGATTGCGCAGATGGAATCAATAAGCATTTTGCATGGCGAGTAAGAGATTCACTTGGGCATACAGAAATATCTGTTTGAACCCCACATGTCTTGATAGATTTCAACACAGCAGCAAAGGTTTTTTGTTTCGTTGGTGGACTTGGGGTGACCATACGACGGGCCTCTGTGTATGATATATTATTTATGGTTTTTAACCGTTGAACCTCTTTTTCTCTCTGCCATGCAGGGCACTTCTGAGAGTAGGAAGGATGGACATCTCTACAGTTCACACAGCATGGGGTACTTTTACATTCAGTACTAACGTGGTCTTCACTCCCACACTGTGCGCATACGCTTTTGCCTCGGCAGAATGTTTGTGAATGTCCAAACCGCTGGCATTTCAAGCAACACAGCGGATTTGGAATGTACGGGCGGACAGGACAGCGCAGATATCCTGCAGTAATGAAAGATGGCAATGTCGATTTGTTAAATGTTAAAATTAAGTGTTTGGTAGCAATTAACTTGCCATCTCGACGAATGGAGATGCGTCGAACGGCAGTTACACCTTGATCAGAAAGGCCGATCTGAATATCTGATTCATCTTCAGACATCAGATCGATCTCTGATATCACACCACGTGATGAGTTTAGACTTCCATGTGGGGTGACAGTTACTTCTATATCTCCGAGTGTCTTAATTGCCAAAAGTTTTGCAGACTGTTCAGGTGAGGCTCTTTCTAGAAGCAGATCTCCTGACCTCAATTTTTGTATTTTTTTCAAATTTCCAACTGTAGATTCAAACAGCTTCTGGATGAGAAAAGGAGAACATTTTGATAGAGGTGTTTGTCCAGTAGCATGGACTATGAAGTAGGTTGGCTGACTGGAAATGATTTGTTTCCTTGTAGAATTGTCTGTAGTTTTTGTTTTTTGATGATCCATGATTATGTAATATTAATTCAGCTCCCAGTGACCCCACCCACCATGGGGCCCAACGAGGGGATGCTGTCACATGAGAGATTCCCATAGACCGTCACACCAGGGTTTCCCAGGAGCTATACCCTCACAATGCAGTCAAGAAGAGCACATCTTGTCTGACGTGTCCGCCCGGTCTGCATCAATCGGTTGACTCCAAGCCGAGGTCAAGAATGACTCAATGACCAGCCGACTGACTCAAACGGAGCCTGATTTGAGCCTCCCGTTTATCCGAAGCAGGGGCCAAAGCAGTGTGTTGGGGACGTTATGTTGCCCCTCAACTACCAGGATCCCCCTTTCCAGCATACGGGATATCACGCACGGCAAACACGTGGATGGGCGTTCAGATCCCAGGGATGGTAAAGAAGACTTACTAAACCATCTCTGGGAGGTCCCCTCACCACGGACAGGAACCCACACTGAGGGGAATTGTAAAACCAATCGTGAAATAAAACACCTGTTACCCATGCCTTTTTATTTGCTCGCCAGAAAACAGACAGAGCTGATTTGTCAACTCCCTTCATTGCTCGTGGGTTTAATGAATGGTTAATTAACATGGGCTTTGTAACGTTATCTCCAGATGCGTTTGAACATAAAAGTAGAGTGATCCTATCCTTGGAAACCTTAAATCCTGAAGCAGACTTTTCATTTTTCGAGATGTAAGTGCGTCTGGGCATTTTCTTCCAATATAGGCATTATATACCTGATCTGCAGTGTAATTTCCATCTTCTACAATTTTTAGAAAATTCTCTCAGAATCTCTGGGCTGCTTCTATGTCGGCTGATGCGCTTTCTCCCACAGCTTTGACATTGCGCAAGGAAAATCGATTTCTAAATCTGTTAAACCAACCTTTACTGGCTTTAAATTCATGTCGATGTGATTCATTAAAAGAAATGGATTCAAGCTCTTTTATATGCTGGTTAATCTTTGATGCCTTTTGCATTATCACATTACTATTCAAAGGAATATTCTTAGAAAAGCAATCTTCTATCCATAACATCAAACACTTTTCCATTTTAGGCATTAAAGTGTCATTTATACGAGCAGTTTTATTCAAACTTACTAAAGATCCAGAGGAAATTGTAGCCCGAATTTTATTTTCATTTCTTTTTATTGATTGAATTGTTGTCTTGCTTAATTTTAAATCTTCAGCAATGACTGTTAATTTTTCACCATATTTTAATCGATCCAAAATTTTAATTTTTTCTTTGAGGGTTATACAGCCCCTTTTACCAAGCGTCATACCAGCCAGCATTGAGTAAGTAAGCCAGCTTTTACCAAGTAAGTCATGAGTAGTCTGATACAGAAGAGATAAAAGTTCTTATAATCAAACTTCCAAACCATATTTTTTAGAATTTTCCAGTATTATATAATGTTTTAAGCATTTTTAAAAGTATACTTTTAGTTTAAAAATATTACTATTAAATGAAAACAGTTTAATTTGTGAAATAATTTAAAGCCATTATTTCAATGATGATATGTCTAACTTTTCTGAAATGGTATCACTGCAGCATCTCTTAATCTATTTTTGCTATAATATTAGTACTAAAATATACCTTAAATAAAGTTAAAATATTAACTTAGAGATAAACTCCTTAAATATTTTCTGATTTGGAGAGCAAGGGATGAATGAGGAAGCAATTCTCTTCCATCTCTCATTTCTGACATGTTGTCATCACTTCAATTTTAAGATTAGGTTTTCAAATTAGCATTTTCTAATCATAAAACATCTGAGAGGGGTCAGCAACCTTCAACACTGCTGTGCCAAACCTAAGTTATAGTGTTATTCCATGTGCTGATATGATTCTACCAATTTTGTTAACAACGTGGCCTTCAAAAATCATTGTAAAATGAATTATGTTCTTACATGTGAGGTGCATGCATAATATGTAGATGGTGACAGAGCATATATGCATGTGGTGTAATATAAATTAAAAATGTATCAATCAATAGCCTACACTGAACTATGGTTTCCATTTAAAATATGTAATTAGCAATTAAAATATCATTTTTACTACCTTTTTCTATTCAATCAATGTGCCTCTGAAAAATGTCCTGTGCGCCATGTTTGGCACACAAGCATTAGGGTGTCAACCCCTGAACTAGACAATCTTTTCATTAAAGCACTCATAAGATTGTGTTAAATCTTTCAAATGAGAACAAAGAGGATCACTCCATATTTCCCAAATTCTCTTGTAGGCACAGTAGAATATATAATATAGCCATCTTTCTTCATTCACACTCAGCAACTTGTCACATTCAGTAATTGTTATTCTTTCAACTCTGTATGGAATGTTCAGGGCCAGTCTAAATTCTTTTAATATGTGGAATATAGGCCTCTTTTTGATTCAGTATGTTCTTAATGAGATATTGAGAATTAAATGCTACAACCTTTTGTTTTTTCCATTTAAAGAGATGAGTAAATGAGCTCGAAGTGCAGAAAATGCCTCAGAGTAAGCTGAATAACACGAGTTAATAGCTGGGAAACAAGACCTTATCCTGGAGCTGTACAACCTCGATTTGTTGATATGCACAGTTGCCACATGTTGGTATGACATGAGTACCATCCAGTGATGTGTGACAGGATAGACATAGGAACAACTGCGAACATGCTGAAGAGGAAGTGGAATGGAACAACACACGACAGAATGCACAGACTGGCAGATATGACAAACAGCCCGTCAGAACCTGTTCACCACAACATGCATATCTTCATTGCACCCAAACTATTCACAACAGGTTGCATGAAGTTGGGCTGCATGCATGGCAACCAGCAATGAGGGAGTGCCATTGACTTCCAATGCAGGGATGCATGTCTGACATGGTGTCATTGTCATTGCAACTGGAACACTAAATGGTATTGGTTATTGTTTACAGATTAACTGTTAATGGTTTCTCCATAGACTAGATAGAAGTGGGATTCTGCATATACAACAGTAACAATAAATAAAAACAAGGTATATAAAACTATAAATAAATATGTAAATAAATAAATATTCAAATTTGTTTATAAATATTAGTGACTTACAGAAAGTCCAGTAACTTATTGACATTTGGCCTATGGTCCAGAATCTCTTTAAAACTTGCATTTTCAAAATGCTGTCTATGACACTGATCAAGAGCAATGCAGTTGTAAAGTATGTGTTTAACACTTACAGTACAGTCAAAACACTTACTAAAACACCTTTTCTTGCAGCCAAAGTTTATAAGAAAAACTTTCTAACGTTTTCGGTCTTGTTAAAAGACCTTTCTCAAGAAAACTAAATCAAATAAAACAAAAAATTGTAAATCAAACGCTTAGTACCGCTAACACGTTTTTCAAATATTTTCGAACTAGCTTATAATCCGTTGCAATATATGACGTCATTGTGAACTAAGCAACAGAAATATAAAAAAGATTACATAAAAATCTAAACACAAATACATATAGTAACCATTTCCCAACCTCATTCAAAAATACTTAGCCTAAGATACATAGTAACTACTTCCCTCAATTATTAAGTTTATATTAAGCTAGAGGACCATGCTGCCGATATTTTTGTCGCTTCTCAAAAGTTGACTGCAAGGCCTTTATGCTTTGCTTTACAAATCTGCCAGGCTTCCGCATAATGCCGGTGTTTCCGGTCGCGGACTATCTACATTAGTCTTGCTTGGTCCCATTCAACCTTAACAAGACCGAAAACGTTAGAATGTTTTTCTTATAAACTTTGGCTGCAAGAAAAGGTGTTTTAGTAAGTGTTTTGATAATACAGTATGCAGTCGTGAACGATTTGCAAGAGTCATAGCTTTTGACATAGGCCTTGTTTCAGTTGTTCGAGGAATGGCTCTCACTAAGGTTTTTGGAGAGACTATCATGCTAAACAGCCAGTACTTGTTAATGTGAAGTGGTTTCTCTATCAAAACAATAATAGACCACACTAGAGCACGCACTTCTAATCTTTGTGGCACTGTTACGACTGAGGCAAGTCCTGCCACAAACAATAGATTCCGGAAACATGCAATGCCTGCATGTGACAATGGCAGGATAACAGGACAGTAAGAACCCGCTTAATGCGGGGGATGCATTCCTAGAGGACAAAGCACTAAGCAAAACAGCGTTAAATAAGGCCATTTTAACAGAGTAAATAGGGAAAGGGGAACACACGACCAAAAATAAACAAATTTTACTACAATTTTAAGTTATTTTTATATTAATTTGCATAGTAATATAAGTTAAATAAGAGACACACGCACACAGAAATGTAAAGTTCATTTTTTGTGACGAAGGTCCTGGCTCTTCTGAAATTCTTGGTTTTTGCGATAAAGTTGCATAGTTTCATTTGTCACTTCTCCCCCTGAAGCAAATGTCTGTAGCAGCAGATTGCATCCAAAATGCCTCATCTTGCTTTTGCACTCCTTTCAAAATCTGGATCATTTGCTACAATTTGATCAATGATTTTGATTAACATTACCAAACTTTTACTAAGGAAATCTGTAACAAGTTCTTTGGGTTCTTCGTTTTCAGAATCTCTATTTTCCAGTTCTACATGAATTCCTTGTTCTGCCAGTTCTCTTGAAGGTCATCATTGGTAAGCCTCTCACCAGAAACCTGCAGTAACTCCTCAATATCCTGCTCATCTACATCTCCTAGTCCTGCTGTATCAATTAGGTTGATAATTTGGCCAACCTAATGATACAGTGATAGGCTCTTCTTGTTGAGAATTCTTGGATACATTCAGCAATAACTTCTTCCACACTTCATTCTAGCCAAGTCAATATTGCCTATGGCATCCACGATGTTATATTTTTTCCAAAATTGCACCAAACAAACAGATTTAAGGGAAGTACAGTGCTACAATGAATTACCACCTTTTGCTGATTGGTTCCTGTTATATATGAATCAATGAAATGCAGCGATAATTTGAATCAGTGTAAATTTTGAGCATTTTTTTAGGCTTCGAGCAAACCGCATTATATCGAATCAGTGTTAAGCAGGGTCTTATTATATTTCAAATTGTCAGAAGATACAGATGTATATGACACCAATGAAAATGATGCATTATTCTGCAAATTAAATGACCAGTTCTTGTATTTTACATTACATATATTATTTAATTACACTAGGTATGTCTGCATAATAGCATTATAGTTTTCTTGTTGGCAGTTGTTGCCGTCTCTATAATTTTACAAATTAGCCAAATATTTATGCCTAAATTTAAAATTTTACAGATCCCGACTGGGCCAGCCTGAACATCGGTGCTCTAATGTGTATAGAATGTTCTGGA